AAGAAGGATCAGGGTCTCACCGCTGAAAGTATGAGCTAAGGGCATAAAGTAACATGTAGAAATATATTTCTGGTCTGCTTATTTAGCCTTTTACAATGTTGAAAGTAACATGTTTTATAACAATAATGGATCATGTCAATTGAAGTGAACCTCTGATGAAAAAGTTGAAAATGAAATCAGAAGTGTTAAATCTTGTAGTGATGGTTTAATGTTTAATATTAATGGTTAATATTCTTTACGGTGTTTAATCTGTTGTTTTTTTATGATTGATTAGTTTTTCATGAGAAATGGTTTAATGTTAAACATTCTTTAAATGGGTTAAATCTATTTCACATGTTGAAGTGTAATGTGTGTGTGTTCAACCATGAAGTGCAGGGCAAAGGCTGCAACAGGATGTTGAAGCAGGTAAGAAAAGATTTTGTGCAAAGCTGGTGCAAGCAGAGGCTGATGCAACTGCAAAGCAATGTTGATGATGTTGAATATGTACAGAAGATGCTAGAAGGTGCTAGATTTTTACCACAGAGGCTCATGGTCTAAGACTGTCCATTTCTATTGATAGTGAGTCATTGCATGCAGAAACGTTTGTAGGCTTCAGAGTTCAAGAGAATATAAATAAGACTTGAGAAGGGTGTTGGTCGGTTCTTCTACGGCTCCTTTCCACACAACAGGATGAAGACCTATATCAAAAGAACCGAGAAAACAAACTCCTCTCAACTTAGAGAAAGTTTCTACAGAAGACATCTACAACTCGAAAAATATGCACATAGGAGAAATTCTTTAAAATAAAGAAAATAACCAACAAGTTTGGAGATTACAATTGAACTCTGAAGAAACACTGTGTCTGACCTGCCAACATGGGACTTTGACTTTCAAAGAAGATTTTGGGGTTTTTGTACTGAGTTTAGAATTTTAAACATAAGTCAAGTTTCTGGAAGGAAATGGGTGTCAGCTACGACCGTGCCGGCATTCACTTCTTCTCATAAAATTTATATCAGTTCTCCTAAAGCTGCAGTAAATATAATCATGTTTACTATTTGTATTAATTTTTACTCTTTTACTACTTTTATTTTTACCCTTTTTATTATTTTTACTTTTTACCCTTTTTTATAATTTTTGGGAGATTTTAATCATTGCTGTATGCTTGCCATTGCTAATTAAATGCAATAAATAAGGAATTCAGATTTAATTAAGAAGTTGTGGAAATTAGTTTTATGCTTGGATGTTTTTTAACAACTTCTTGATTGTTAAAGGTTACTCTAGACAAATATTTTTAACAGATCTTTGGGGCTTACAAAGCCACAAAATAATTTCCTAGCACCTTCCAAGTGCACTGATCAGAAGGCGAGGCTGGAAATATTATTTTACTCATAGGTATCTTCGATATAATACTTTTCCAGCGGAAGTAGTTTAGACTTTCGGATGGAGGCAGTTAGAAGCCCAGCGCTTCTCCTTGAAGTGAAACTCTAATAAGAGACAGTGTGTGGGCTGAAACATGACATAGGAAAGGGCAGAAGCGAAGATTTAGATTGTGTGGAAATTATTTAGTTGTTGGTCTTTGTGAGTAGACTCCTACACTGCATATTTCAGAAGGTGTGTTTCTAAGGATTTTCCTATTAGTTCTTTTGTTAATATTATGAAATAACTGAAATTTTGATTACTTTATCAGTTTCGCTTTTTGATTTAGGCTCATACTTTTCATGTGTGGCTCAAAAGGAGGATCTCTGCACAAGTGTGGCTACGACTACACAACAATGATTTGGAAATGATTTGTTACAAGATGTACAGCTGGCTTCTACATTATCCGGAACAGTGCAATCCCACTGAGTAAATAAAGATGCAAAATCTACCAACACAAACTGAGAGCACCAGCAGCCCAAGTTCAATAACAACACTCTTGTCGCTGCCTTTTGTTTTTTCAATCATAATAAGAGCTTAAAAAGTTTATTTTAGAGAAGTGACTACACTGTCATTTTATTTATGTGGCACACAAAGCTAAATACAACTGTCAGTACCTATGTGCGATAACAAAGGTTTAGAACCATACCAAACCTATATTTGATTAACTTGAGATTTAGGATTCAACCCTAAATTCAATTCTATCTCTACTTTACTTTACATCTAAGGTGTCCCATTGTAATTTTTTTCTCAATAGCAAAAGAATATATGCATTTACTCTCACTCCTTATAACACACTATCTATCCTCCAGTCAAAATGGATTTAATTCCTCATTAATGATATGAAAATGAATATATATATATATATCATTATTGATATCGATCCATGTAAAAAAAATGAAGCCCAACCCTGCATGGGAAACACAGAAAAGACTGAAGCTGTTAAAATGCACAAAACAAAATCCTAAATTGTAGATATTATGAGTATGACTTTCCTGTGATGGTTTGAACAGATTAAGACAGCACTCTGTCGTTTTTATCAAACCATTTCTTACCACTGAGTGGCAGTAATGTACCCACTTATTTTTTCCAAAGTGCAAATGTAGAATATGCAGGAGAAATAATTTCAACAGCCACAGTGTGGCTCTGTGTTGATGGATTTTCAGGACCCAAAATACAGATGCAGGACACAGGCAGGTAGGTGAAGGGAAGCGTTTTCTTTGTTGAGTCTCTGGTTTAGGCAGGTATGTACAGACAGGCAAATAGAAAGTCCAAATTCAAAAGAACTCAAAGAACACAAAGAAACTGACCTGAAGCACAACGTAAAACTGAAAAGACAAACAGACAAAGTGACGGAGAGAAGTGTGGATGCAGTGACTGAAAAGACGAAAGAGGCACTGAAAGAAGACAGGATGTGAAAACAACCGACACGAGGTCAAGGGCTGCAACGTAGATTTACTGTGAAACAGTGGGTGGAACAAACAGAACCTTGGGCAGGCCTGAAACTGATCTCCAGAGTGTCAATCAAGCTGGAGCCGCAGAGGACGTCACGAGGGGCTCGATATCTGAATAGATCTTTTGAGAAAGGTGGAGCAAGCAAGAGAGAGAGAGTGTTTTTTCCTCATCTGTAGAAATATGGGAGACAAATATTTATGTTTTAAAACCATAAAAAAGTGTATTTTGCACAATATGGCCCCTTTAAAACAGAAAACAGGAAATGATGAGCACACTTCAATGTATGTGACAGGCCTAACGCTTAAAAACATAACATCTACATTTTGATAGTTAAACTTGATTTAATTCCTCACTAAATCTTGATTCTTTGATATTCTTTTAAAACCTGCTGACCCCTGTCTTCTTCCTGTCCAACTTTGTCTGCCTACATATTTCATGAAGCTGGTGGGTGAGGCAGGGATAGTCTGTGCCTGATGTTAACAGCTGGGCCTGGTGTCCCTCTCATGCACATGCTGATTCTACAAAACACAGGATTTTTTTGCTATGGATTTATACATCCACAGTATGCTTGGCTGGTATAGCACATAACTGGTCTGTCCCAGTTTCCTTCCTCCTCCCATTCTCCCAATTCTTACCTTCCCAGCCTCTAAGTTTCCTCATGGAGGATCCAAAGAGGAAAAATGCACATGTGCCACAACAGCTCATTTTAAGCAGTGACCAACTTGTCCAGGTTTTCATGAACAAAGGTTCACTTGACTACGATAAGTAACTCTGCTCCTTTCATTGTCAACATCTGTTGTTGCTCACGTCCGTTGTGGTTGTGTTTCCGTTGTGGTTGTGTTTCCTTTGTGTGGCTTATGTAGTTGTGTCAGGGCTTTTGCATTTGCCTTTACCTTAATGTGCTTGTGTGGGATGTCTCGGCCACTGCACTTACTACCAAATATCAACCTACTAACATCTGAATCTAATTCAACTAACGTGCTAAACATTACACTTACTAAAGCATGTTAGTATTTTTCATGAGAGCATAGAGCACAGGGCTGATACAGCTCATGAGCCAGGTGAGGTTTGCACCAGAACATGAGGAGAAACCACAGAAACCATACCAACCACTTTCTTTCTTCACCTGCAGTGAACAAACAAAATGACGAGAAGTGATCTTGGATCAGCTTCATCATCAACCGTTTCAGATGTGCAATAAAAATATTAGACATCATAGGAAATCTTCTCATTCATGGTGTAATTTAATAGTATTTACAGTAGGAAAAAAATGCTGCGTATTTATTTTCTGCAGTTTTTTTTCTTCCTCTGATCATTCATTAAGCCTCCTGTTGTTTTATGTGCATCCTCTTTTTTAAGTTGCTTCCACACTGTTATAGCAGTAAGGAGAAAAGTAAAGACAGAATGGCCCTTTAAAAGAAGGCGGGGCAAGGGAGATGACAAATTGGACACACCTGTGAGCCAAAAAGGAGGGAAACTCAAACAAAGGCAGTGTGGAAGAGAACTGAGGAGTGAGAGTAAGTGAAGGAAGGAGCTCTTTGTAAAGATAAACCAGTTTCTGGACCTATGTACTAAAAGAGGAAGAAAAGTGATCAAAATTAAATTGAATAGAGGCAGTTGATCCAAGAACCGGCTGTTTTTTCTCAATCTTCCTGGACAAAGATGCAAATGACCCGATCCCTGTTGAACCACAAAAGCTAAGTCTGTCTCCGTACTGAAACTCTCCTGGCTTCCCTGTTTCCCTTTGCCTCTGGTGAAATCACTCCTCATCTTTCACTCTCCCTGGAGATTAAAGAACCCCCCCTCAAACACACACATTGCCTCCATTTTCCACTCATTGGACATTAAGTCCCCTCTCCAACACACACACACACACACACACACACACACACACACACACACACACACACACACACACACACACACTGTTCTGACTATATTGAACAGATTACAACTAAGCTGAATACCACATACAAATGTTTTTTCCTGAACACGCTCCCCCCACACACACATTCTCATATATCATCTGAACTCAGCCTACTCAAAGAACCCTAATTATCTGGAGTCCTTATTTCATTTGATTAATTAATGAACATTACATTTTTTGATATGGAAGTGAATTTCTATTAATTTATATTTTGATGAATATGGAATTTTTGTTGTTGGTTTATTAATCATACTTTTTTGATGTGATTGTTGTTTGGATTTGATTAATAATTGCAAACTAATTGATGCACTGAATTGTTTGTGTTTTCCTTTTCCTTTGATGCCTTTTTGTAGCTAGAATAACAAGCTACCCGGGTTAGATCTCTCATCATAATATATTTTTATCAATTGGCAGGTTAACCTGTCTGGCACCCAACTCTTTCTTGACAATTTAGAAAACTTATGCTACATTATAGTTTAAACAAGTTAGCGCCCGATACACTAAACTAAAACTGTGTGTGTGTCTGTGTGTCTGTCTTCATTTTTCAAAACTAAAAAAATACGCTTCTACTTGTCAGGATCAGGGGGCCTCATAAAGCTCGGTCCTGATGAGGCTACACATCATTTCTGAGGTCCTTGTTAAAGTAAGAGGTAACATGTGAATTGTGGATAGGATATGGATAAGGTTTTGGTTAGGCTGTGTAGGTATTACTCATATTGTGGGGACCTAAGTCTCATGCGCTCATACATTTACATGAGATTAATTCATCAATCAACATTAGTTATAACCATAAACTCAATTTAATTATTTCATTTTAACTGAACAATTAGGAAGCCCCAACATATACCTTTAATATTTTTTTTAATCTACATTTACATTAATGTTTCAATACACGTCTCGTAAATAACAATTATTACATTTTAGACATTTCTCTTTATTGCAGTTAACAAGAAAAGTTAGCAGGAGTGCTCAAAGTATTGCTACGGTTTCCATTTCCTAAAGTTTCCCTCTAATGTGTCACAAGCCGTTATGACAGTCTTCACTAGTAGTCAGGAACATGTAGGGTCAGAGTACACAAGGCAGAGCAGACAAACTAAACATTTTTTACTCCACTACAGGCCTATAATGCTATCAAAAATCATGTGTTTTGCTGTTTCTGTTTTTTTAAGTACTCATCTTTGTATGTGGTCCTTTTCTGTTCCATTCTCTATCATAATGCTGGTGTCTTTCCCACTGTTTCCTCACTCCTCAAGGGTGATTGTGGTGAAACTGTGATCTGTATCATCAAATGTGCACAAAATGCAAATAAACCTGCTACTTAAGTTGTAAATGAACTATTGCCCTGCTCTTCTCACAGTGTTAGAAACTATTCCATTAAGACAACAAAGCCATTCTGTTCTGTCCAGTGTGTTGCGGATGGGAAAAATGAATGTACTTAAGCCATTTAAAAGTGGACGTCTTACCTCTTACTTTTACGAACCTTGCATGGGCTTTCGTCTCTTGTTCTGTTCTTAATTTATCCAACCTTATTGTGGACTATAAGAGTAAACACTTCCTCACAACTGCTCCAAACCACTAGTGTGGTTGATGAGTGCATAAGCACAGTTTTAAGATGTCATGTCATTTTTACACTTAGGTTGTTCCTCTTTGACTTCCTGTTTCTATCCCACAGAGGTAACTAGACCTATTGTGTGCACACTATACATGTTTGCCAGTTACTGCAGGAACATTACAGAAATTGTTGTAACCTTTTTCTCTTTATAGACCACAAAAAACAGAACTGTACAGTGATACAATCCACTATACTGTGACGACTACAGTATGATACCAGCTAACATCAGAGGCAACACTATATCTAACCCAGCACATGTATTTGTTAACATGGATGCTTTGGATAAATAATGAGATGAATGTTAAAAACATAAGAGAGGTAGGGTTTCGTGTCAGATTCAATGGATCATATGGTAGATGGATATTTACGTTGCTGATGCTCAAGGAATCCCATGCTTGATAGAGACGTGTTTAAGTTCCTCGTGAAACTATCTGCAGAGTCAGTGTGATAATTGGCAGACAGTTAAGCAATGAAAGGAGACTGGGGATGATGGAGTCGGAAATATTTGCGATTTGTCAGTGGTCTGCAACTACAGTATGTGCCAAGAAGAGTCATATTTATGTCCACTGAGCCACAGCAGCTGATCTGGCTCTTGATGGCACATGGTTGCAGGCCTCCTCTTCACAGTGTGCTTCTTCATCGTTCCCCCACCATCAGTAAGGGGTGAAGAGGATCGGGCCATGCGTGGTGCGGATGGGCCCTGGGGCAGGCCTCAGCAGGCTGAGGGGTGTTCCCTGCAAGAGGTGATGATGATGGTGGGAGGCCGGCCCAGGAGAACGTAGTGCCAGCTGATTGGAGGTTGCTGCGGCTGCCATCGCTGCAGCGACAGCCAGGGGATTTGGTATAAGTCCAGCCCCCAGAGTTTTTGGAAGTTCCTGTAAGAAAGTCAAAGAGGTTAACGTGTAAATATTTAGCTACTGATAAATGCAAGAGTTTTCTGCAAACCTAAATGATGTGGGTTGTATTAGAGGATGGATACCCAACTCAAGCCCAAAAAATCTAGAGATGGTTTTGGGTCGGGCTCTGTCACATCTGCTAAACAATAGGCAGAGGAAGGAAATGGGGATGACATTGCATAATGTGTGGTAAAACAATCAACCTATCGCCCCAAAAAAGTATAGCTAGACTTTATATATAGCTGATGCTACATCTCCGCTTCTTCCTACTGTCCAGAAATGAAGCCAAAATATCCTGGATATGAGCGTTGCCATCTTGAAACAAAGACATATTTTTGAGCCAGTATTTGTGGGAGGGAGCTGCCAATACATGTGCTCAACCAACCACGAGTCAATCTCGCCTGTCAATCATGACATTGCCCCATTTCATAGCATTAAATAAGTAATTAAAACCAATTTTAAATGGGCTCTTGGACAAGATTGAAGAATGACTCTAATGACAGAAACCATGTTTTAGGAAAATTTACTTGATGTGTGTTTTTACTTTTAGTTTGGTCCATGTCCCATCCACTTATTACTAATCACTAGCCATCAGTGTGCAATCAAGATAATTTGGCTTGACTTTTTGGGAGCCCCTATGTTCTCCATCTTTATACACTGCCTATGAAGTGAAGCAATGACTGCTCAGGGTCATTTAAAAAAGAGTCCACACATCTGTATTCAGGACAAAGAAAAGCTGTGGCCACAGTAACAACAACTGTGTTACATCAGTTGGGAACCTGTCGTGTTTTGGATGGACTCAGTGACTGTTCACTCTGACTCAGCAGATATGCGGCTCAACTAAATCTTATGGGAGAGAATTAATAAACATGGAATGTGAGACAAACTGAGGCCTCACCATAAAGTCTGTGCGCTTCTTGTGCCGGCTGAGAAGAGGATTGGGTTTCCCTGCAACTCCATCACGATGCCTCCGGCTAGATATATGCTGCAGCAGAAAATGAAAAGGGAGTAGATATTAGATATTGTGATTGTTTGGGAAATAATTCTCTTACGCTCCATGGGTCTTTGTACAAGTCTCTCACCTGTTTTAGCTGCAACTCGGAGTTGACTCTAACGTTGCAGATCTCACAGTGGAAGGTGCGTTCCTGAGTGTTTGGGTCTGAGGACAGCTCCCCTCCCTGCTCTGGGCTGGGTTTCGGACCCAAGCGTGGGTATGCCTTAATAGGTCCCAGTCCACTCCGAGCCTCCAGAATGGTTTTGTGCTTGGTACCTGGAAACAATAAAAAGAAAAGTCCATTGCATGGCAGTAAGTAAGGCTGTTAACAGTGAAGCACATTTACTAAATAATAGAAACCTCCAGCTACTATTGATTGAATTGATAAATTGCATGTGTTTCCTATAATTCCAGTGATGGAGACAGAGGATCATTTGGAGTTTTTATCTTAATGTTTCTGCATCCAGTCAAACTTCTCTTTAACCTGCCATCATAACCACTAAACAACGATAATGCACTAGCTTTTGTTTTTCAAACTTAAAATGCAGAATGTGCAGAATATCCTCTAAAGAGCCACGCTTAATCTGCGACAGCAGATGGCAGGACTCAGTTGTTTGTAGAGGTTTATTTCTTTCAAGCCTGCATGTGCACACTGTGTGTTGTGATGTACTTAAGAAAATATGCTCTCTCTGACAATGCTGCTTTTGAGTTACCTTTGTTATGTGCCTCGAGTTGTGAGAGGGAATTAACAGCCACTTTGCACAGGGAGCAGTAGAGAAGCTTCTTGGCTTTCTCTTCCTCTGACTCTCCTGAAGACGGGCTGGGTGCCGGAGACAGGGAGTCAGGAAGAGCCACCGCTGCCGGATCTGTTGGGGGGGTACTGAGGGCGGCGTTTGGGGAAGGAGGGGACGGCAAAGGCGAGCTGACAGAAAGTACGAGGGGAGACTCAGTGTCTGCTGAGCTCAGTGTGGGTGTTGGGAGGCGGCTAGGGGTCAAAGGTGACTCGTTAGAGTTGGGACAGTTTTGGGTGACATCTGTAAACATGACACAAAGTTTTTACATTAGTAATTGATTACACACTTTGACCTTGATGATCATGATTCAAAGGTGTGACAACAGAGATGCTGATTTTCCACTGTCTAATATCTGGACCTGACAACAGCTCATTTTACATGTTTATTTCAAGATAACTCTAATGATGTCTCCGATCTCTGGAGTCTGTAATGAGAACAATTCATGCAAGTTGTGAGAATGTTCTTGAAGTTTTGATAAATCATATTAACAGTAACTTGGTCTAGACATTCTTTAATAATCACCAGCTCACCAACACTCCTCTAGTTAGTTTCTATCACTTCATGCAGCAGCTGTGTGAAGCGTCTCTGCCACTTTGTGACAGATTTCTGTGTGTGTGTGTGTATGTAACCTCACATCTGAGCTAATACTCACCCAGCTTATTAGGATCAGGCACAGGGCTGGATGGTGAGGGGCCTGGTGGGGAGGGGGAAGCAGTCAGGGGAGGGTGCTGTTTGTCCCCATCTTGGAGACGAGCTGTCTTGGATGTCTCGATCCCCTTCACCCTTCGAGCATGGCGGTTCCCCTTATAGTGGGCCTCTGCCTGGCTCTGGCATAAACATAAGACACATTAGAAATCAACATGAGATTCATTTACGTTGAATCGTCGTGCATGTGCAGGGGTGGACGCTCATTTCCACCTTTATTCCATTTTCTCCTGATGGCACCCATGTGAGCTGAAGTCAGAAAACTGTGGTTGTGCTTTGTAGTTAACTGATCTGAATTTGTCACATTGTAGCATGAGTGACTTGCGGACGTTTCAAACCATATTGGCATCGATACATGTTCAAATAAACGCACCCTGCGTTTTTGGTGCATTACAGAAAAAGGCATCAGAGCGGATGTGATGTGCTGCAGATGTTGTCAGGGAAGTGTGTACCATCCAGACTATTCTCATCTTCCTTCACTACTGGTGTAATCACTGAACTGGCTTTCTGAGCTGATGATTATTGAGTGGTGGGATTATCTAAAATTGGCTGGAGGGGCCGGTGGCTGCCACTGACAGTTGATAGTCCGTTACAGAGAGAGAGAGAGAGAGAGAGAGAGAGAGAAAAAAGGATCAAATCAAGAAAATATTGTATCCGTGTGTGTGTGTGTGTGCCTGCTTGTCCTTGTATAGTATAGCATGAAAGAGGATCAGTTTAAACTGAGGAAATATGAACACAATATGAAGTGTGGACATTTCAGTAAGTCCTTACTACTAGTGTTAAGTTGGTGTTGTGGTTCATTCGAGTTAATCTTATAGGAGACATTTTATGTTAGGCTTGCATTGATTTATTGAAATTTTTTCTTTTTTTAAAAATTCTTTCTGACAAATAAAGCATGATCTTGATTTGAAGATGTGTGCTGGGTGTTTCCCTGCATGAAAGTCTCACGTACACATTATACACCACTCCAGCCACCATGCTCTTACTCCCCCACATGGCTCCACCGTGGGCTCATCCCTTTCTGTCTAGCACTAATCATTCTTATCAGACCTAAATCACAAGGTGCAGAATCGTCTAGTATGCAAATTCTTTCTCGACATACTGGGTGGGGGCAAAAGGACCCTCCCAAGTGTAGATATGCATGTGCATGTCAGCATCAGATGAAATCAAAGTAAAACATGAGGTGTTAGAGCACAAATATAGTTCCTCTAAGCTCTTCACTAATACAAGACTGTGCGCGTGTGTGACTGTATGAACATGTGTATGCACAAGCAGCGAACTGCTGAGATTAGACAGGTTTCCGTTATGTCAATAACAAGGCTGTGGGGCCCTTCACAGAGGCAAAGGGACCACTGGGACGTGTCAGGGATGCCTCTGTAAGCCTTGGGTATTAGCTGTCAATGATAGTTACCCATATAGCCCTCCTCCTGATTGGTGATGACAGAAAGGCAGATATAGCTCTGCTGGTGTAACCCAACTCCTTTGGCTGCTGCTTCCCAAAGCCCCGCAATTAGACAAGGAGATGAAGACCCACAAGTGGATGAGCAAATGACAGCAGAGAGCCTGAAAGTGAGAGATACTCGATGCTCCCTCTGCTCGTTGCAGTCCACACTATGTGCTGCTGTCCTTCTAATACTCTTCTCCCTTTCTGCAACCACCAATTGTTTTTTTTTCATACTTGAGCATTGATACTTTCACTCCCTGTGACCTTCAGTGTCAGGACTTAAAAAATCGATGAAGGTCTTCCATCAATTCAAGCATAAAAGGCCTGACAGCCTCGGAGGTGGGGGTTGAGACCAGACGCAGCAGAGACAATCGGATGTAAACAAGATCAAGGCACCTGATCTCTGGTGTTAGGAGGAAATGTGAATAACGCGAAAATAAAAATGTTGTTTGCCATAGTCGGTGAAATGAACTGAGAGAAACTGCGACAGAGCCTGTGAAAAGAAGGATTAAGATGAATGAGGAAGCAGAGATGGGATTTAAGGGGGAGAAATGAGAGCAAGTGAATGTCCCTGAAATCCTTTTTGTCTATAAGCAGGAAGAGCTTTGATGTTGTATCTATAAAGTGACAATGGCACAGAAAGCAGAAAGCTGGTTGTGCAGCCAGATCTACTGTACGGGCTACAGGCAACAGTGACAGGGGGAGGGGGTGGGAAGAAGCTGGTGAGGTGGAGAGAGTGGGCATGGGAACAGATGATTACTACTGTACTGTACTCCCCCTGCACAGAGGGAGTAACAGAAAACACGAGAAAACTGTGAGGAAAAACTCCGCTGCCTATAGTAGGCAGCGGACATGAATGAAACATGAGTTGAAGGAGAGGCGGATTGATCAGAGAGAGAAAGAGAGAGAGAGGTGTCCAGTATGGTACTGCAGTGGTGACGGTGGCTAATGCAGCATGGAGTGACGTCAGCCTTGCAGCAGAGCTGTACTGAACACTGGCAGGCTAATCTGTCCTCTGTGGCCTGAAATGAATTTCAATGTTGTAATTACAACATGTGGAGCTACAGTGTAGTAGCAGTGAGATGTACCCGCTTCTGAATGGCCTTTACCAATCAACCAGCCTCTTTTGTGTGAGTACCAGAGAATTCCCTTTAAACAACCCCCGCCCCCCCTACACACACACACACACACACACACACATGAAGTAAAATATTGGTTTTATTAATATAATCGGTTTATCATGACCTGTCGAAGACTGCGAAAAATAATGTGTTTCTCTGCCTCTGAGCCACAGCGCAGCCTGGACTTCAGGAGTAATCCAAACTGTAAGCAGAGTATTCCTTCATTATTAAAGAATGTCCTGCGTGCTTTAAGCTCCCAGTCTCTCAGGTTACTGTGGACAGTGGTGTAGAGCTGCAGAGGAGCAGATGCACACCGCGGCTCACCAGCAAAACAGCAAGCTGGACAAACAGGTGGCTCCCTATTAAACCTCTCACAGCATAGTGCTGCTGTGACATGAGGCTGAGACACTCTCCCAAAACATTTTCCCATGCACATCCAGTGAAATCCCATGCAATATGTAGATATGAACACGCTGAGGTAAATTAAATCACTCCTAACCTCATGTAGACCATGTGAGAACATGCAGGACTGAGCAGGGGGAGATATAATTAAGTGGCCCCTCAGAGAGAAGAGGGCAGTGTTACACAAGTTTCATATGACCCCCCCCCTGCATGTGTCCTTTACACACCACTGCTTTTAGAGTGCAAGTATTTAGCACTTCATCACAGGAGCGTGTTTATATTTTTAGACTTGAGTATCAGGCTTTTGTTTGATTTCTACTCATGTTTAAGTTTGAGGTTACACTGGTAGGTCGTTTGGGGGAATCTTTCCCTCTGAAAAAGCCCTTTTAATATTCACCAACATACATCACTCAACTTCACCCTAGATGTTAAATTGTACTACATAAAAAATTCAGCTCCAGAAATGTGCCCTTTTGACTGTAGAGATTTTGATGGAGAGCTGTTTTTACTGTGGGACATTTTGGGTTGTGAGGAAGATCAATCTGAAATGTGAACCATGCTGTGGAAATGTTCAAACAAAAATTCTCCATGCACAAGCACATACACTATACTAGGATAGCACTCATACCACTGCTAAGTTCTAACTGTTGCAAACACTACTGAATATTTTCTCTTAATATGTGTGACTTTTTCTGTGTAGACCCATCGATTGTTCCCTGGAAAATATGTGAAAAGGTCACAAAAGCTCTATTTTGGAAATCCAGGATGTGATCCTCCTCCAAACCAAAATTTAATGGGCCCTTCCCTGACCCATACCACTTCTACTAATGTTTGTAGAAATCCATCCTGTTGCATTTGTATAATCCTGCTAACTAACAAACAAAAATAATCCCCTTGGCGGAGGGAATTATGTCATCAGTGAATCATGTCATCCAGTAGCTGGGTCTTGGGTGTCCATATTATTATTAGTTTTTCATCTTCAGTTAACACGACAGCCTCTTTAACAGGGACCATCAAAACATTCACCTAAAGTTTCATCACCTCTGGCCTAATGTTGGCACAGCACCATCTGTCACAAATGAAATGCAGAAAATGTGCTCCATCAGCTTTAAAGTGGCTCTGACAAGTTTGTGTTAGTTGGAGTTCATCCTGCTGCTTCTCCCTCAAACATTTCAAAACCCTCCATTAAAATCTCTTCTGAGGCTGGGGAACTAAAAAAAACTCTCTTGCAAAACTCGAAGGCTTGCTATCAACACCAGAAATGTGTTTTGCAATCCAGGCACAACAACATTTCTGTCCGCTTCTTTTCGGACACTCTGACGTTCCTTCAGGACTCAGATACAAGAGTGCCAGAATGATACTGTAAACTGTTTGTATACAAGCCGGATTTTCCTCCATCTTCCTCCCCCTACTCTCGTTTCTGGAGAGGCTAAAATTGGAGCTGAGAAACTGTGAACCACATTTTCACCTGCTCCAGCTGTACAGTCAATCACCAGCTAAGTTCAGATCCAGCTAGCAAACATTTTAGGTCATGATTTAATGTGTGTGGATTGTGGGTCTATCCATCTATCTATCCATCTATCTATCCATCTATCCATCTATCTATCTATCTATCTATCTATCTATCTATCTATCTATCTATCTATCTATCTATCTATCTATCACATTGAAGTTGTTGGAAGTGGATTGAACACATTAATTCTTTCTTAACTCTGCTTATTGTCTGGTATTTTTATTAGAATTTCTCTTACATTTGTATGGATATGGATACTTCCTAATGAGTCTGTGATTTCAGACAGAGGTGGTTTTTCTTTCAGGTTGGCATAACACCTGTCTTTATGTTATGTTGTAGACCTCGACCTAGAAGTCCTAATATTAGTATTAATACTTTGACATTAAGGTTAATTGTAAAACTGTCCTATGCTATCACGACCCTATTTTGTTTTTCAACTTATATTTGTGTGTTTTAAAGAACGTCTTATCACTTTTAACATTGTCAGAAAGAACGATTTTTAAATGAGGTCTGCATTGAGCAAATGTTATCTTGGTTAATGAGTCTGACAGAGGTTGCTTGAGAGTCCAGTAGCCTGAGCTTTTATGCATCCAGGACCAGTTTTCACAATGTAAGGAATATTACACAGTGGATGTGAATGAGGCTTTCACCTGTAACCTAACAAACGTAAGATGGTAGTAGCTTTTTCTACATAAATCAACACATCTCTGTGATTGTGATGCATGGGAGGCCACAGAGCTAAGCACCACCACTGTTTGTGGGCAGACCAATAAGTTCTTTAGTTGATTCAACTTTGGTTGGTAGGTTGAATGTAATGTTAAACATGGTAAACATACAAGTATCAAATACACACTTTCCCCATTCGAGCTTGCTAAACTAATCTTTGACTGCTGCTGTTGGGTGTTTAGCGAACAATGAATTAGTTGGATATTGTCTGTAAAAGAAAACAGCCTTTAAGTGTTCCTACCTCTGAGTTGAAGCGTATTTGGCAGACGTTGCATGAGATGATTGGCCGTTTAGTCCTCACCATAGGTGGCCCAAAGGTGTGCGTCATCACAGCCTTCTGGACAGGGTCCATCTGAGGAGGGAACACCCAGAGGTCACACCAAAGACGCAGCGCCACAGGAGAAACTACGAGGGCGGGTTTCAGTGTTTGTGCTAACTGCAGTGCACCAATGGTTGGACGAATGTGGATGAGAGAGGAAGGTGATGCAGAAAAAGTGCAGGTAAATGACAGGGGTAGCTGTTGAAAGAAGAGAAGGCTGGTAGATAAAAAAAGTGGGAAAGAGTGAATTGAAGAGGGAGCAGTGATTGATGTGGACAGGAAGATGTGTGTTTTCTCAGCAGCAGCTGGTGCTGCTGTCTGTGCCTGAGCTCTTGGGTGCCGTTCAAACGCTTTAATTCATGCTGGGGTTAGAGGGGCCTAATTACAGGCTCCCTATCGCCACACATTTGTACTTTGCTTGGTTCCTACAAATCCTCCTTTTTTTTTTAAACATCATACTACAGTATTACACAAAAACACAGAGGTATTTTCTCTGTTTGAGTTATGATTGATCCTCCCAACTGTATAGGGACATTAGATCCTTATGGCATAATTTATCTGCAAGTAAATAGATAAATATTAATAATAATAATAAATATATAATTACTGAATATTGTTGGTAACTGAAAACAATCAAACAATTAAATTCTATAACAATTTTGAATCTGAAGTTTGAATGATCCTAAATTTATACTTAATTAACAGCTGTACTGGTTGGTCATTAGATTACCGATACGCAGTCAGAGCTACTGCCAGAAAGGACTGTATAATACCATACTTCTGCTCAGTCAGCCTTTTCTTATCGAGCAGCATCAGAAACTTAACTTTAAAATCCTTGGCTTATTCTAAAAAACTACTGTTATGGGTCCCTGAAATCTGTCATCATCTGGAATAGTGTTTTTTCTATGAATTTACAAAATCTCGTGGTTTGCTTGATACACTTGTATTTTTATATAGTATATTATTAATTCATTTGTACTTCCACGTGATATGCGCCTTTTTCCATTTTTATATGTTCTATAGTTATGTCATTGATTTTTTTATATACTCTGTGTTCTGTTTTGTTTTAGATTTGTGTTCATTTATAATTGAATGCTTGTCTATTTGACCATCAATGAAAAATAGCCTGCATAGCAAAATCTGGCACATATGTTGGACCTATGTGTGTAAATTAATGTTTAGTAAAATAAACAAACATATACATAAACCGAAACAATAAAATAACAAAACATTGATCCTTTGTGGTAAAACGTATGAAAGTTCTGAATAACATAAAATATATATAAATCAAAAGAATAAATATGTTTCTCAAATGAAAAAAATCTACTTTCTTTGGATAAAAGAAATCAGCTTGGTCTAAAACAACAAAAGACATTGTGAGTCATTCTCAGATCAAGCACATCAAATGTTTACCATGTCCTATTATGAAATGTTCACTCCTTCATTCTGAGACGACTCGAGCTGACTCGTGTGAGCTCTCTGACCCATTGGTGGAGTTCAACAGCCACGATGCTGGGTGTTGCCCTCATTAAGCAGCCAAAAGTACACTGCGGTTTTACTCAGCCTCTCATCCTCTGCTCAGACTATGAACGCATGCTGCTAAATGCAAGACTGTTTACACTCTCAAGCTCCAGGCACCAGAGGAAATGGTGTAATTGGTCTGAAAACTTAGACTCAGCTTGAATCCATTGTTAGAAATATTTATAGACTTTAGCCCCTACTTTTGTTTAGCTGCATATTATCTTATCTCTCACTTACCCGTGTCCAGCTCACCTCTCATGTGCAGGTTTTTTCTCATTGAGACCTTCATGCATTTCTTTGGCGTGTGTGTGTGTGCGTGCGTGCGTGCGTGCGTGTGTGTGCGTGTGTGTGCGTGTGTGTGCGTGCATGTGTGTGTGCGTGTGTGTTCTTTGTACCTGCTACATTTAGGAAGTTATGTTTTCGTCTGCGTTTGTTTGATTGTTAGAGCAGGATTTTGCAAAAACTACACATTTCCATCAAATTTTGTGAAAGGGTGTGGTTTGACCCTGGGAAGAAACCAATGACGTGGGTGCAGATCAGGGGGCAGATATAGGATTTTTTTAATTTTGTTTAACAATGCAAGGTTTTTCAACAGAGATTCAAAAAACCTGTAATACCTAAATATAACAGATTTTTTGAATTAATGATTTTATATGAATTTGATGCAGATCCATATAAAATTCAGAATCTAGTGAATACTAATGTGGTTTCACAAGGAGACTGATGGGCTTTGGTGGACGTATGCACGCTGCTGTTCATTGCCTTTGACTGCACTTGAACTGACTTTATAGTGAGTAGGTTTAGTGTCATGCTAACTGATCGCTGTTTCTCTGGAGAACTGACTCCTCATAGTCAGGATTAAAAATGGGGACATTATCTTCTCAGCCAGAAAAATGGAGACACAAAATGGAGACACAACACCAGCGAACAGATCAATGCAGCTGCACAGGTTTTTGTAAGTCAACATTACTCAGTCGACATTAAGCAGCAGCTGCCACAGCTAATTGAGTGTTTGTGTCAGATTGCCCTTCTCTGTGTCCTTTCCATGTGCCAGCTGAGTGATCGTGATCCATCACAGACAGCAGTGTTGTAGATGTGTTTAAATGTGACTGTGCAGACTGAGATAGATTTGAATTTAGGTGCACACAGTGGCACACTCAATGTCCTCAAGAGAGTAGGATGAATCATAAAGTTGCCGAAGGGTCATTGTGTTTATGTATACGCAGATAAGCTGATTGTTAGTGTGTGTTTTTGTGTGGTGCATGTGTGTGTCCCTGTTTGTCGTCACACTGACCTTCACATGAAACCCAATCTGGAAATGAGAAGGAGTGGCAGAAAACGCTGACTATTGCGAAAACAGCCCGTGCCTCTCATACAATTGATTAGCTGTAAGTCATTTTATTGCAGTAAAACACTTGCCCCGGCATTTTATCAATTATCCTGAAACTCACTTTGCTGAATAAAAAGTAAACAGCTGTCACCTTATCATTTTGGATTATACAATATAAATCATGAGCACTTTATCACTGGTCTGCACTCAGGAGGCAGCAGTGCTCTGAAGCCACACATGAATACCAGCTCTGTCTTCTGTGAGGTGAGACAAGAAGATAACAAATCCCAGACGCTACTTGTGAACACTTGTGTTTGTGCAGGTGCTACAACGCCTGGGAGTACTCACTGTGTTAAAGTTGTGGAAGAGGCCGATGCTGGCCGGGTGAGGCGATTCCAGGGGGAACTGGAGGAAGGGCTTCATGTCCAGCGGGGATGGGATGACAGGCGGGCTCCTGAGGAAGGCAGGGACCGGCCCCGGTCGGTTTACACTTCCTGTGGTATAAACGCACACACAGGGAAAAATCATTAAAAAGCTTCAGAAATAATACACTGGCTCAAGTGGAAAACAAAGACTGTTTGCATAAGGTGTTAGTAAAAAGAATAAATACATGTCCCAATTGAAATGCACTTGTTTTTACCTCCACTAAAGATGATTTCACCCCTGTCACTTTTACTTATTTTGTTTCTTAGCAAGATTACAGATAAACTACTGGAAGCATTACCACTAAACTTGGAGGAAGTATGTAGAATAGGTCAGGGGAGAAATTGCTGCAGATCCAGATCAGGGGGCGAATCCTAGGAGTTATCTTGACTCTGTTTTTCACCATTTTCACCATTTTCCCAAGGATTAATTCATGGCTCTTACACATTTAGGGAACTGATATCTATAAGTGTGTGAAATTCTGTGCAGCTTGATTGAATTTAAGGAGACTGTTTGGTCTTGGTGGAGGTTTGAGCTCTACTGAGTGCTATTGAGTGTTTCTATATGTGGAATAAGCTTTGGACTGATAATGTTATGTATAAGTAGTTAGTTTAGCTTAGCACAAAGGCTGGAAACAGCTAGTGTTTACTGTGTGGTGGGAGGTTATTTGTGTTTTTCATGGCAAATGACTTTTTAGGACACATCCCTCATGAAAACCACAATGTGTTATTTCCCGTTTGTAAGTCAGCGTTACTGATACAGGTAGGTGGATTTTCTTACAGCTGGATACAGCTAGACTATCTATTTCCCCATTTCCAGTGTCTATGCTAAATTAAGCTAAGCTAACCAGCTGCTGGCTGCAGCTTATACTTGAAGAGCTGTAATTATGCAAACACTGGGTACAGGTGCTAGGCTGTTGATAAGAAGAGTCATTGAAAAATGATGATTTTGTCCTGAAGAAGATCTGACTTGGATCAGAATGTTTGTCTTTTTGAATACATTTTGTTGCAGGGAGTCAGTGTGCAGACTTTACATTATTTATTGAATCATTTCATATTCACTCCACAGAGAGGAATGTCTTAATTTTCTTACATAACTCTGAGCAATTAACTGAAAAAGCACATTTCCCAAAGTGCTGAACTATTTCTCTAAAGCTCAGCATCGTATCAGAACAGGTGTTCGTTCTACAACGTGTCATAACAGTAATAGGCAAATAAATCTAATAGTCAGTTTTTTCTCCTGCGTCATTTTCCCTTGTTGAGCTCCACTAGCCACCCACAGTTCTCTGTCTCTGCCTCTCACTGACTTTCCTCAGTAGTTGCTCAGCAGCAGTGAATGCCTGCTCTTGAGGAGTCTTGTGTGATGGGCAGGGGAGCTAAGCTCCTTAAGCATCTGCAGCTGGGGCGCTGCAGATATCCGCCTTTTTTCCATTTCTCCCTCTGTCTCTCTCTCACTAAGCAGCGTTTTCTATCCCCATTTCATGGTGCCTTACTCTGTCTGCCTGCCTCTGTATCGCTCATCTGTACTTCTCCTCTCTACAGCTCCGGTCCATCTTGTTGTTTTGTTCCTCCTTCTCCTCATCCTCTTTCTCTTTCGCTCTCTCCATTCTCCACTTCTGCTTCCCAAAGTTATTCTCCTCTTGAGCATAAAACCAGCGGGGTGCTTCAGGCCCAATCCGACTCTGCAGAGAGAATTTGTATAATCTTTTCTCCTGAGATTATATGCAATTGTCGATCTTTATTGCCTCCACTTTGTAATGACTTCTTCATTTGAAAAGAAAAACGGGTCACTTCTCAAAACTGGGGAAGAAAAGGCTATTTTGGTAACAGCGGCGGAGGCTCCTTTCACTGACAGCAGGGATGTAAGGAATGTGCAGTCAGAATCAGAAATAGATGGAGGGCATTTCTCAGACTCATTGTTTCAGACCTAAGGTTGAAGCAGCTGGAGCTGTAGCTATTGTGGTTTGCTTTCGAATGTGCTGAGAGGGAATGAGTTTAGAGGGGGAGAGGAGAAATCAGATAAAAGTGGGGGGTTAATATTCATAATTATCAATTAAGTGGAACAGTGAAGGTTGTTTGTTTGAATCTCAGCCTGGGTCTTTCTGTTTGCATGTTCACCCTGTGTCTTTGTGGGTTTTGCTCCCGCTTCCCCCCACAGTCCAAAGACATGCAGATTGGATTAAGGTTCATAGGAGACTTCAGATTATCCTTGTGTGAGCGTGAATGGTTGTCTCTTTATGTCAGCCCTGTGGAACACTGACAACCTGTCCAGTACTCCACTCCTCGCCCAATGTCAACATCGATTGGCTCTAGGCCCCTTCTGACCCTCAAAGGAGAAAGGGTATAGATGATGGATGGATGATTACATTATGCACAATCACCTGGAACCAAGAATTGGAATGAGCCCTCTATATCTAAATCAACGGACAAACCTAGAGGCTAGCTCTGGTGAGGGCCTTCGCTTTTTGTGTTACCTAAAGGCCACCATAGTTTCTCCTACACACTTGAGGAGAGGGTAATTGGTTGGTTGCTCACTACCAGATGCCATTAAATCCTACACACAGAACCTCCAATTAAAAAAAAGGGTAAAACTGCTGGTAACTGCAGTTTGCATCAAACTAGTCAAACAGGAGTCAAATGTGCTTTTACTGGGGTCTACTTTCAGCCGGGGATTAATACAAGGTTGTATGTATTCCCGGAAGCAGGACTGTGTTTGTCAGAGTTACACAAAAGAGACTAAAGTACCCATAATAAAGTAACATCCAGTGTGAGGGTTCAGTGATGTGTTTTAATGGAGATAAGAGGAATAAAGCTTAATATGCAATACTTACATAGCCTCATCAGACTTATCTATCAACCTTCCAAAAATTCAAGGTTACCAGTAACGTTCTGTGTATTCTTTCTTTGATTTGGTTATTCAGTCAAAACAAAAATATTCCTTAAACGCAATCAAACACAAGGTTAACAGTAAATGATGGGACAATAAAGTCTCAGTAGAATAAATTGGATGAGAGGTATAATTATTGTTTCCTCTTTGGTTAGTGAAGCATATTCGCATCACGCCTCTGTTAAAACCGCAGCTCATTTTACACCACATTACAATGGAAAGGTCAAAACATGTTACTTATTAATCTGAATTTGCAGCGCACACACTCACAACAGAGTGATGTTTATGCGAAGTTGGCACACATCGTTTTCAGTGTCATATTCTGCACCATCCCACAGCGGTGCAGGGTAGATGAAGTGTGAGCACACCAGCAGGATCCCCCGACCTATCCTCCTCCTGAGTGATTTACAATGACATCAGATAAGTGAACGCCATGGCTCTTCAACAGCGACCACGCAGGAAGGGAGAGCATTGATTGGACACATTCTCAGGAACGTTAAAGTGTTAAAGTGCTGCCAAACTCTATAAATCCAGGGCTCGCCGTCCATTGCTCCGTCTCTCCTCTAAAATGAACAGACAGCGGCGTCTCACCCAGCCCCCTCATCTAACTGCCTTTTTTTTCTAATGCAAATGTTTGGGCGAGAAAAAGATCAATGTCTGTGTAATAGCTTATTGAATTTTTGTGTAGATAGTGAGAGAGAGCGTTAGTTGGACAAAAATGAAGAGACGCAGAAGGGAGGGGAAAAATGAGAAAAACAGTCAACGGAGACAGAATCTTATCGTCACAGTAGATTTCACAAACCCCTGCGTGTGTGCACACAGGGTCGTGCACGCACCAATATGCTGTGAGTAAGGCCTCCTAAATTGGCAATTCATTTAGCCAATTTAGGCGTAATGATCACAAAGGTAATGTCAATGTCAGTGGTGCCGCTGAAGCCACTCAGCATTCTGTGCCTCCATCTTTGTGCTCCATGATGGGACCAGGGGGGGAGGGGACAGGAGACTGACTGGGTGACATGCTGTCTAACAGAATGTCATCTGATGAGGGACAGAAACACAGCAGGGGCCCACAAAAACAAAGGGAACTTTAAAAAAAAAAAAATGCAGCCATCTTTAGTTGCTGTCCTCTCAGCTCCACACTTGGCACATGATGCAAGCCGCCTCACATCTGCATCTAAATGGGCTGCTGTGCACAGATGACTCTGAAATGAGCTTCTCTGGTGGATTAGCCAACCTCCCCTTACACCCCCCCTTGCTTGGGGGACAATTAGAGGCTATATCCATGCTACTATGTTTTCGTTTGAAAATGATATATTCAAACTAGGAGGATCTCTGTCCACACAAGCCTTATCAGTTTTAACCCCTATCCATACTGACACGCCTGAAAACGCATATTACGTGACCGGTCACATACACTGGGTTTGTGTGCCACTTTAAACAGGAATTGTATGAAAAATAGCCCGTTTCCTATGTAAGCTGTTATATTGTAAATTACAAAATATAACTGCAGTATAGCTCTTAGCATAGACAATAGAGTATTGATTAGCCACTTTGCATTCTACACTGGTAGCTAAGGCTAATGCCGGTTGTTTTCTTCCAGACAGGGGGCATGAGTTAAGAGCCTGACCAATCAGTAAAGGCTATGTCTTGGCTATGTCATTGTCTCCAAACATGTTTGTTTCTGCCTGGCCAGACTAAATCGAGGCCAGCAGCGTTTCTAAACTTCTTCATTTTAGCAGCATGGATGTAGCAGAAACCAGTGGAGCCACTGTGTTTGTCTTTCTCCAAACTTTCTGTACAAGACACTTTGAAAAAGGAAGTAGTCACACAATGACCCAACATTTTATAGCAGATGACACCTTTGGTGTGTCGTTGATCATCATTAGTATAAATGATTTATCACTCGTTTTTGTGTTGTTGCTGCAGGAATGCTGAGCTGTCGTCTGCCACGTTTTAGCATCGTCAACACAAAGTGATGTTGCACAATTTAGATGAGTTGTCTCCTGTGTGGCTTGTGTTTGAGAGTCTAACCTTTAAAGAACCACAGACACAAACTTTGTGGTAATAGCTGTGTCTTAGTGTCGCATGCTGCTACTGTGAAGGACTGAGCATGAAATCCAATTTACTGCAGCTCGGCTTACCCTCAAGTCACGGGCAGCTTTTTCAACCTAAGCAGGGACAGACG